TCAAGTCCTTCCTGCAAAGAGTACAAGGCTAGGGAAGAATCTTAGTTAATCATAGAAAGTGCGATTGGAAGGGGTCTTAGAGATCATCTACTCCAACCCATTGCTCAGCGCTGGGGGCCACTAAATGATACCTAACAGGGGGATCTCCAGCCCGTGTTCATAAACCCCCAGTGAGGGCAGCCCACCGTCATCCTCTAGAGACCTTTGGCCCAGTAAACACCTTGCCAATTCAGGAAGTTCTTTAGATTTTAGATTAGATTAACAGAGTTGAAAGGGACCTTGTAGGTCATCTAGTCCAACCCCCTGCCCAAACAGGAGACCCTACACCATTTCTGACAAATGGCAGTCCAGTCTCTTCTTAAAAGCTTCCAATGATGAAGCTCCCACAACTCCTGAAGGCAACTTCTGTTCCATGGGTTGATTGCTCTCGGTTCTTAAATTAGTAACACGGTTATTAAGCGAATTGGGCTTCCTTGTTGACTTTTATTTTCAGAAGGTCACAAAAGGGAACACTGCAACCGTCATAAATGTGAGTCAGTTGCCAAGCATCTGAATTTTGACCACGTGGCCAGAGGGATACTGGAAAGGTCGTTAAGTGTGAAAAACATTCCCGAGTCACTTTTTCCCCCCGTGCCGGCGTATCTTTGCACCGTCACTAAATGAACTGTTGTAAGTCGAGGACTACCTGTAGTATCTGGCGTTCAGATGAAATCCATACCCCGTTTACCCAATGCAGGCAGTCCTCAAGTTACGACCATAATTGAGCCAGGCAATTTAGGGCCTTAAGTCACAGCAGTCCTATCCCATGGGATGGACTGGATTTTACGAGTATCTGAGGACTATACGTGGTGTGTCGTTAAATGATCATTAAAGTATCCTTAAACAAACCTGGTTGTTAAATGAACCCATCATTTGATATGGAGCATTTTTTTACTTAATCCGGAAATAAATGCTGGTTTTTGGCAAAAACCATCATCAATCGTGGTCACGCATGGTGGGACACTGGAAATAGCTGTAAAACAGACCAATTTGCCATGTCTCCGAAATATGGCCGCACAACCAACAGAAACCAGGTTGTAAATACTTTTTTGCAGTGCCTGTCCTAACTTCGGACAGCCACTAAGCCCCCTGCTCCCCCGGTCGTAAGTCGAGAACTGCCTGTGGCAAATTGGCTAGAAAACACCAGCCAGGTGGGTGAATTGTGAAGCTGTGGAAGTTGTCTGCGGACTCACAATGGATTTTGAAATCCTTGTATTGTCGGTCTTCGATAGCCACCATGTACAAAGCCGCTCGGTCCGGAAACATGAGCCCTCCTGGTTTCTGTTGACGAATGGTGTGGAAATGGATGTCTTAATCTTATTCACCTGACAAAAACATCACATTTTTTGAAGGCGGATACAAAACGACAACAGACAAATAACCAGACAAACATCCCTTCCTCTTTCACGTCGCTTGGCACACGCCGAAGGGTTTTGGAAAGGTGGCATCTGGGGCAGTGGTGAGGTTCAATTTTTTTTTAACTACCTATTCTGTGGGCGTGGCCTATTCTGTGGGCGTGGCTTGGTGGTC